CAGTTTGTCGTTGCTTGAAATCTTCCATTAAACATAAAGATTGTCGTATATAAATCTTCCATATATATATACAGTTTGTCGTTGCTTGAAATCTTCCATATAAATGATAAACATATTTGTATATATATAAATATATAAACATAAACATTTGTCGTTATATATATAATCTTCCAAGTAAACAGAAATATATGTCGTTGCTATAAATATATAAAAGGCAACAAGAAACGGTTTGTCGTTATTTTTGATATCCATATAAACATATATATTTGTCGTTGCTTGAAATATATATATGTAAACATATAAACAGTTTGTCGTTGAGAAATCTTCCATTTAAACAGAAACAGTTTGAAAAATTGAAATATATATATATATATTTTATATATATATATATATATATGTTTGTGGAAAATTGTCATCTAAATTATTCCAAAAACAGAAAATAACGTTGCTTGAAATCTTCATTTTAACAGAAACAGTTTGTCGTTAACACAAAAGTATCATGAAAAACAGAAAAAAAGTTTGTTTATTTAAAATCTTTGGTTGTAAACAAAAAGTTTGTCGTTGCTTTCCCAAATCTTCCATCTAAAATCTCCAGTTTGTCGTTTCTGGAAATCTTCCATGTTTAACAGAAAATGTTTGTCGTTGCCTTCAACATTCTTTGGAGTTATAAGTAGTTTTTTGTCAACTGCGTCCCAAAATCATCATAAACAAAGGGTGCAGTTTTAGTTGCTTGTGTTCCATGTAAACATGAAAACAGTTTGTCGTTGCAGGAAAATCTGAAACAGAAACAGTTTGGGTTCTTTAAATTCTTCCATGTAAACAGAAACCTTTGTTTGCTTGACAATCTTCCATGCAAACAAAACAGTTTGACCCAGGGGCAGCAATACTTCCATAAGGCATTTGTTTTTGATCTCCGTGTTGTGTATGAGGTCATCAAACAGAAAAAAACGAGAGTTGAAATCCTCCAGAACGATCGTCGTCACCATTAGTTGTCATCCAATTTTCCATGTAAACAGAAACACAGTTTGTCAGTTTGAAACACCAAAAACAGAAATGTTTGTCGTTGCTTATTCAGGCCATGTAAAGCAGAAACAGTTTGTCGTTTCCAAATTTCCATGTAAACAGGAATTCATGTCGTTGCTCTTTTTTCTAAAAAAACAGTTTGTCGTTGCTTGAAATTTCCATATAAACATACATGTCGTTGTTGAAATCTTCCATGTAAACAGAAACAAAATTGTCGTTGCTTGAAATGGCGCCATGTTATCCAAACAGTTTCCCGTTGCTATATATATTCCATGTATATATAAATATTTATCGTTATATATATATATTCCATATAAAAAGAAACGAAGAAAATTTAAATATCCATTTTTGTTTATAATTTATTTCAGAAACGGTTTGTGAATATCAGAAATATTTTTTCAGACCAAAGAAATCTTAGTAGATGGAGTCAATAAAACCGGTTTGTATATTAGATTGAAATCTTCCATGGAAACAGAAACAGTTTGTCGTTGATTGAAATCTTCCATGGAAACAGAAACAGTTTGTCGTTGGATGAAATCTTTTAAAACAGATGAGATAAAGGAAACAGAAACGGTTTGTCGTTGTAAGAAAACTTCCATGACCCAGAAACAATTTTTCGTTGCACGTTTGGAATCTTCCATGTAAACAGAAACACAGTCGTTGACCCATAAATCTTCCATCGTTTTACAGGAAACCAATTATCGTTATTATTATTATTATTAAACATTAACAGTTTGTCGTTGCTTTATTATCTTCCATGTAAACAGAAACAGTTTGTCGTTGATTAAAATCCTCCATGCCAACAGAAACTGGTTTGTATATATATATAAAGAAATAATCATACAAAGAATCAATCAGCAATATTAATGTTAATTGCGAAATAATTTGTAGTAGAAACATTCCATGTAAACATTAAAATAGAAACAGTTTTTTAAAATGCCATGCATTATGTTTCTACTTGAAGTCGTTGAAATTTCCATAAACAAGAAACGGTTTGTCGTTTCTTGGAAATCTTAATGAGGAAAGAGTGCCTGTTTGTCGTTGCTTGAAAAATCTTCCATCAAATAGAAACGGTTTGTCGTTGCAAGGAAATCAGCCATGACAACAGAAACAGTTTGTCGTTGGGGGAAAACAGAATGTGATTTAAACAGAAACAGTTTGGAACTTGCTGAAATCTTCCATGATAAAGAGAAAGAGTTTGTCGTTGTCCTGAAATCATCCATGTAAAATAAAAATGTTTGATCTTGTAAGGAAATATCAAAAATGATTAAAGAAAACAATTTGAATAAAGGTTAAACAATTGATTATTGAAACAGAAACAAATTTTTCGTTGCTTGAAATCATGTGTGAACAGAAATCAGTTTGTCGTTGCTTTTCGCTTCCAGCGTCTCATATGCACGAGTTTTGTGGGTGTTATTTGTCGTTATTATTTGAAATTAAAATAAAAACAGTTTGTCGTTGCTCTGAAATACTTTTTAAATCCATTAGTTCATCATTTGTCGTTGCTTGGAAATATTCCATGAAACAGTAAAATTTGTCGTATTATTAAAATTTATTTGTAATTATTGACATTTTGTCGTTGAGTGAAATCTTCCATGTAAACAAAACTGTTTGTCGTTGTGTGAAATAGGATATAAAAACAGAAAAAGTTTTCGTTGAAGAAATATGGCAAAAACAAAACCGTTTCATTGAATTCATTTGATTAAACAGAAACAGTTTGTCGTTGAATTGAAATCTTCCATGTAAACAGAAACCGTTTGTCGTTGCAATGGAAATCTTCCAATTAAACAGAAACGGTTTGTCGTTGCTTAAAATCTTCCAATTCAAACAGAAACAGTTTGTCGTTCAGCTGCGGTGAAATTTTCCATCCAAACTCAAACGAGTTTGTCGTTGCTTGAAATCTTCCATGTAAACAGAAACAAATTATCATCACTGATTTGTCCGTGTATTGCTTAATATATTATAATGTAATTGTCATATTTGATAGTGGCTTATGTAAGCTGAAAGCTTAGATTGATTAAAAAATATGTATCAATATTGTGATTTTCTTTCTTCGTTTAATGATAATGTTATTAAGCTTATCAGACGATATGAAAAGAACTTCCATAAAATAGACAACACTTGTCTATAATATTTAATAAGACATGTATCATATACATATATATATATATATATATATATATATATATATATATATATATATATATATATATATATATATGATAGAAGGCTTACTTACAAAGACGCGGTTCTATCGAAAAACTTTTGAAAAAAAAATGAATAATTATACTTTACTTATTTAAGGCATAATCACCCTCTCGATATCATTAAATATATCTTCCCATTTCTCGGGTGACTGAGGAGCAGTGTCTGGCACCAACTGACGCATGTACCCGGGTTTCACATCCGGTAGTACCCGGCGTGATCGAATATCGGATAGATACTCGGCGATGTAATCGACCATCTCTTTACCTGGAACAAAAAGAAATGAAGATGAATACGACACTTCTCACACCAGTAATTTAATTATATTTTCGGCAAAAAGAAAAGTTATAAATTTCCGAAAATCCTTAGCTAAAGTATCCTTCCGCTGTTAACTTCAAAGATAGGCGCTGCGTGGTACCGTTCTGGGAATAACGAAGCTTTTTGAGTTTCCGGATGAAACACCGCAGTTGTGAAATTAATGAAATCATTTCTTGGCCCTTCACAGACTGAACTGAAGATTCAAAGAATAATTGTAATAGCCGTTGTTAATACATATGGTGAAGCGAATTTCATATGATATCATTTGATATCGGAATTTTTGATATGAGGTATTATCATTATCATTATATGAAATGAGTGATTATATTATTATAGACAATGATGAATTATTATGTTAACATATGGGATTAGGAATTATTATTATTCGGTTATTATTGAGAAAACATTGTTAAAATTATATTAGCCTATGTAATGAGGAATTATTATTATTAATATTATTATTATACAAGATGAGGAATTATTATTATTATTATACAAGATGAGGAATTATTATTATTATTATTATACAAGATGAATTATTATTATTATTATACAAGATGAGGAATTATTATTATTATTATTATTACAAGATGAATTAATTATTATTATTATTATTATACAAGATGAGGAATTATTATTATTATTATTATACAAGATGAGGAATTATTATTATTATTATACGAGATGAGGAATTAATATTATTATTGTTATTATTATTATTATTATTATACAAGATGAAGAATTATTATTATTATTATTATTGTTATTATTATTATTGTTGTTGTTGTTATTATTTTTATCATATGAGATGCGTAATTGCTATTATTTTATTATATGGGACCAGGAATTATTATTGATTGTTAATAATATTATTATTATTATTTGCATTTTCATTCGGACTTGCATGCTTATCTTGATTGTCATATTCACAACATTTTGACCTTCTTCAGTTTGTTGTCATCATTCTGATTACTCGTAGAGAAATTTTAAACTGAACCCTTTATACATTTCTGCTTTCCTAGCTTAGGGGATATTTCATATCAGTCAATATCTACCAGTTTCCTTTGTTCAGTTTGGTCTCACTATGGGATCACCATTATCTACAGTCATAGCAAACATATACATAGAGAACACTGACAAAGGTCACAACTTAAGCTAAATGTTAAGCTTAAATACACAGACCATACAATCCCATCCTGAGCCAGTCAGGAAGGTGTACTAACACTGTTGGACAAAGTGAACTCAATAAAATATTCAACTCAATTTCCAATGGGAAAAGAAGGGGGAAAATCAACAGCGCGCCTTGAATGAACGAATCCCTTTCACAGATGATGCGTTCAAGACATCCATACACCGTTAGCTAGCATTGATCGGTCAACAGGAAAATATCAATTTCCCATGACAAGAAACTGATTATCCGCAACGCGCGACATCGGGAAAAAATAAATGAATAGATAAAATATCTATCTATCTATCTATCTATCTATCTATCTATCTATCTATCTATCTAAGGCTGTTCATCTATCTATCTATCGATCTAAGCCTGTTTCATATCTATCTATCTATCTATCTATCTATCTATCTATCTATCTAAGGCTGTTCATCTATCTATCTATCTATCTATCTATCTAAGGCTGTTCATCTATCTATGACAGAAAGTTCATACCTACTTTAATATCTATCTAATAGATAAATAGAATCTATCTATCTATGTCAGTTAGTTCATATCTATCATCTATCTATCTATCTATCTATCTATCTATCTATCTAAAAAGCGTTACTTCGGTGCAACGCAAGGCACACGCAGTACTTAGAAAATTTCCACTTCCTAATGAAATATCAAATAAGAGTCAAAGACTAAACCGCCACTGAAACTTGAATTATCTCCCTTTATCTTTGTCTTATGTTGACGTTTTGCAAGCGGAAGTTCTCTCGAGTCAAACTAGCCATCTTCATTAACTGCTTGGCGTATGTGCGGCATGGGGGGGGTGGATAGCGGCTCAATCTGAAAATTCGACCAGCCGAATTCGAATTACACTCTGGTTAGTTACATTCATTTACGCATAAATATCTTCGAAAAAGGAATAAATCCATCTACCCCAATTATGGGTTAAACAGTAGAACTTGTATCTTGAAAGATCGTTGTTATTCGCGAAAAATTGTTATCCAGAAAAAGGATTGATAATCTGTCAAATAAATCAATATTGAAGGGGTCGGTTTTGTTTGACGACTCTGTTATAAACAGATCCCCAACTTTTGTTTCCACAGAAGGTCCCATATATTTCTCTTCATAAAAGGACAGTGGATGTGTGGATGGTGTAATGGATAGTGGATCGGAAGGAGAAATCGGTGAGCCGATTTCAATTCCCAGTCCGTTTTGTTACATTCTCTTACACAGAAATACGAAGAAAGGCATGAACCCATCTGCTCCCCTCCTGATTAAATAGCAAGGCTTCTACCTGGAAAGTCCTCGTTATTCTCAAAAGATTGTTAATGAAGGAAAAAAATAGAATTATTCTTCCAATCCAAAACATGATTTAGCATAACATAAGCCATAAAGGGTTGATAACCCGTAAAAAAAATAATACCGTGTTATTATTTTACATTTCTTACACGAGTAAGATTGACTGTAATGGTTTAGGTTAAGTCAGTAGGTTTTACGGCATGACAGACGTTGTACGGTTATTTAATGTCTAATTTAATATGGGAGCCCCCACCAATGAAAATCGAATTCACTACTCAATACAAGTGACCAACCAGGAAGTCAACGCGAAATATTACGCATACGCCATGGAGGCTGGAACTGGTTTTCATACTTGTATAAAAATGCATTGCAAATGATTTTACTAACAAAATGCATTGGAAATAATTTAGTATGAAAATGCATTGCCATTGATTTTTACTATGAAAGTGCATTGGAAATGATTTTTACTATAAAAATGCATTGGAAATGATTTTTATTATGAAAATGCATTGGAAATGATTTTTGCATTGTAAATGATTTTTAATATGAAAATACATTAGAAATCATTTATAGTATGAAAATGCATTGGCCAATGATTTTTGCATTGTAAATGATTTTTAATATGAAAATACATTAGAAATCATTTATAGTATGAAAATGCATTGGCCAATGATTTTTGCATTGTAAATGATTTTTAATATGAAAATACATTAGAAATCATTTATAGTATGAAAATGCATTGGCCAATGATTTTTACTATAAAAATGCATTGGAAATGATTTTTATTATGCATTGTAAATTATTTTACAATGAAAATATATTGAAATTGATTATACTATGAAAATGCTTTGCAAATGATTTTTACTATGAAAATGCATTGTAAATGATTTTTATTATGAAAATGCATAGGAAATGATTTTTACTATGAAAATGCATTCGAAATGATTTTTGCTATGAGAATGCATTGGAAATGATTATTACTAATAAAATGCATAGGAAATGATTTTAATATGAAAATGCATTGTAAATGATTTTTATTATGAAAATGCATTCGAAATGATTTTTGCTATGAGAATGCATTGGAAATGATTATTACTAATAAAATGCATAGGAAATGATTATTACTAATAAAATGCATAGGAAATGATTTTAATATGAAAATGCATTGTAAATGATTTTTATTATGAAAATGCATTCGAAATGATTATTACTATGAAATTGCAATGGAGATGATTTTTACTATGAAAATGCATTGGAAATGATTTTTATTATAAAAATGCATTGGCCAATGATTTTTACTATGAAAATGCATTGGAAATGATTTTTATTATAAAAATGCATTGGCCAATGATTTTTACTATGAAAATGCATTGGAAATGATTTTTACTATAAAAATGCATTGGCCAATGATTTTTACTATGAAAATGCATTGGAAATTGTTTTTATTATAAAATGCATTTTAACTGAATTTACTATCGAAATGCAGTGGAAATTATTTTGGATTAGCGTGGTTTATTTTACATGTCAATCCTTGTGTGTGTATTTTTAATGTCGAATTTTATATCAGCAACAAGTGTGAATCAAACTCATTACTCGGTAGCAACAAATTCCTTTCTTCTAAGAATTAAGACCGCGCCCGTCTGATATGCACTGTGTACCAAACGTCACGACAAAACAACGCTAAGTCATTACCAATCAATTCTACTTCAAAAACTTTTCCCAAGAATTTATAATTTGTGGAAGAAACTCCTGTGTAGGTGCTTTCTCGAATACTGCAACCTCAACCTCTTCGAGACTAAATATCTTTATAATCTATAATTCCCTACCTTGAGTGTCTTTTGAGGCTTGTATTGGGTGAACATTTAGTAATATATATATATATATATATATATATATATATATATATAAAATTTAGGGGTTGTGCGTACTTTTGAAAGATATATTTCTATTATTGTGTATTTAGTTGTAAATTTAATGATTTAGGTGTCAATTGTTTAGTCGCAGTCGGTTTGTTTGCGAAATCCTTCATAAAAGGTGAAGCCAATATAAAATGTTTTGTGTTTCTTTTCATTTTTTTAAAGTCTTTCTCCGAAGAAAATATTACTGTGATTTTATACTTTGGCAATTATAGCCGACCGTACCATCTCGAACTTGCTTTTGTGTCGTTAATTGTTGCCCATTACTGAGAGGGATTTGGAAACCGAATCAAAGACAGCAACAACAACGAAAAAAAAAAATGTGAAAGGCTGCGACTGATTCAAATAAAATGGATTCGGCCGGAATGAAAAGGTGCGCATGCGCTGACAGAATGGATACAAAAATTCTAATTTCCGCTGAGCCTATCTTCGTCTTCACGAAATATTTTTCTTTAACCTTTTTTTTCTATTAATAAAAGCGGAAGCTTTTAAACATTTGGGTGTCATCAAAATGTTTGCTTTCCTAAAAAAAAGTTCTCTTTTACCACGCGCAATAATACACATGAGTCGATATTGTATTTAATCACCAATGAAAACCCATACATGCAAAATCATTAATGGAAATGTATACAAAAAACAAACATAAAAAGCATATATATATATATATATATATATATATATATATATATATATTATATATATATATATATTTATATATGTGTGTGTTTTTTGAATTAGGATCAAACACAGATCAAATAGGGATCGGAATTCAACAAAATGATTGGCTAGAGAACAAATAGGAAACGTTTATCAATCTAACATATTTAAGCGAAATATGTTACACTGATAAACCTTTTACCCTCATTATACATAGATACATACATACATATATATATATATATATATATATATATATATAATGAAGGAAAGTTTTATCAGTGTAATATGTTTCATGAAACAAATATATAAATCTATGTTAATCTATAAATATATGTTAAGCAAAACATATTACACTGATAAAAAATTTCCCCATTACACACACACACACACACACACACACACACATACACACACACACACACACACACACACACATACATATATATATATATATATATATATATATATATATATATATATATATATATATATATATATTAATATTATTATTATTATTTTCTGTGTTTTATCCCAACAAATCTTTCTGAAGATTTGTTGCATGGAAAATTCCCTTTTAAATAATAAGCTCCGTCATTTTTAAAGCTATATATAAATTCTGTAGTATAAAATTTTTGTTCATATATACAGTATGTGTGTATATAGAGGAATGTATATATACATGCTAATTACTGGTATATATATATATATATATATATATATATATATATATATATATATATATATATGGATAGGGAATATACGTATGCGTACGCATGTTGACAAAAAACAAAAAAATGGAAATAGATCTAAGAACACCTGGGTTCATTAAAAGATAAGAACATAGATATCTTTCTTAACATTTCTCGGACCAATCTTAATTGTTTTGTTACCCTTCAAGCAGAATGCTTTCACTGGCAGAAAAACACGAGAAAAATTAATTCCTTTTAATTTTATGTGTGAAAATCAACTCTTTACCTGATGAAGGTAACGAGACCCGAAACACATGTAAAGAAAATTAGGAAAAATAAAATAATTGTATATTATTTTAAAAATCCACATTACGACCAAAGACGTTTGCGAATCACTTTCTTTTATTATACAAAAATTTCAATAATTGGAACTATTATAACCTTCTTCTATATATATATATATATATATATATATATATATATATATAATATATTTATTTCCTAATTCACGAATATATATATAATCTAAGAATATATATATCATCTCAAAAAATATATATATATATATGTGTGTGTGTGTGTGTGTGTGTATAATAATTGACAAGGCTTCATCTAAGAAATTCAGACAACTTAAGACTATTACTACTTGGTGGAAAAGCAAGAGAAATAAGACGAAAGAAAAACTAGTCAAAAATGATTAATAATTGCCAAGGCTTCATCTAAGAAATTCAGACAACTTAAGACTATTACTACTTGGTGGAAAAGCAAGAGGAATAAGATGAAAGAAATACTAGTCAAAAATGAATAATAATTGACAAGACTTCATCTAAGAAATTCAGACAACTTAAGACTATTACTACTTGGT